GGCAGTTGTGTCTCGGCAATGCCCAGCTGTGGGGGAGCCGGTGGCGGCGCTGCTGTGGCGGGTTAGGGCTGCTTGGAGGAGGAGGCTGCCGCTGCTGGGAGCCCCCCCCCAGCGGCAAAGGCAGGAAGGTGATGAAAGCAGGCAGGAGGGAGCAAGCGCCCGGCCTGGCAAGGCCAGTGAGTGTGGCAGCGGTGGGGGGAAGGAGGGTGCGGGCGCACGGGGACGGACCCCCCCGGGAGACCCCCCTCTCCAGTTCCCCCCCCCCGTCCTCCAGGCCGGCCGGTGGCACCAACATGGTCAGAGGTGCAGAGGAGATGTGGCCCTCCCGTGCGCGCCAGGCGCTGGCATACGGGGGGCGGAGGGAGGAGAGAAAGGTGTTACGGCAGGAGGAAGGCGCGGGGGGGCTCAGCAATGCTGCAACCCGCACTGCTGCAACTTTTGGGAAACTTTGTTTCCCTTCCCCCCACACGTCTCCAGGCCCCACCGGGAGGTTGGCATCTGCACCTCGCCTAGGGCGCAGAAACACCTCGGGCCGGACCTCCCTCCCCCTTGAGATGTCAGGTCAAAATGGGAAGTATGTCTTGTATTGTGATGGTTTGTTTTAGTTTGAATGCAACAGAAGTCAGTTGGCATCTTAAAGATTAGTAAAGTTTATGGCAACATAAGATTTGTTAGCCTTTACTCCGGGTTTATTTTGCTGCTACAGAGTAAAACGGCTACTCCTGGGGAATTTGCTTGAATAGTAGTTCAAATGGCAAGTCTGTTTATTTTTGCATGCATCCTTTTCCACCTTGTGGTGTGTAGATTTTATCGTTCTATCATGTCTTTGTGCTACCTTATTTTATCATGTCCTTTAATCCACAAATACAAAAGGACTTTATACAGGGTAGTCTTCACATTAATATGGTGACTCGAAAAAAGCAATAGCAGACAGAAGGTAAAGATGCTGTTAGAATTTTATATGTGGGCTATATGTAGTCTTGTGGCTAGCAATCTTGAACAGTTCTCTGCTGAACTTCCAGTTGATTATTGCTGTATGCATGCTGCATTTTGTTGTCTTCCCCCATTCTTTTCTTGCTGTTCTCTGAAGTACTGTGGGCCCTGTTTTAATCGGATACTGGGTAGGTGAGAAGAATGTTGAAGCTGAAAAGGGCGGAAGTTCTTGGGCTGGGACACATTGTGGAATCCTGCAATGAATAAATTGATAAATATAAGTGGAGGTGGTGTATAGTTTGGATGTGTATTGTAGGGCTTGTAAAAGAGGAAGTGAAACAAAGTGGATCCTTGGGTTGAGGAATAAAGTATGGCTAAAATTGGGGTGAGCATCTGAATGAATGCGTGACATATCACCTCTGACTCATCAAGAGTCTAGTGGTTCACTTTGCATGCTTTGAACCCTGAATCTATGCTAAATGTGTAAATAGTTTGAATGATTTCCTGATCTAAGGAACAGAAGAGAATTAAAGCCTGATCAGTTCTGTGAATCTTCCCACCACAGGTTACGTTTTGAGATATCTAAAAGCTTTTCAAATGTATTTGTTGAGTTGGGCTTTATAAAAATGCATTACATTTTGAAATACTGGGGCATAGCATGAGGCTTGGACCACAGTCTCATACACACTTCTTTGAGAGTGGTTACCATTGAACTCATAGGATTTATAACATGCCCAGGACCAGGCTGCTTACATGCATGTTAAAATAAAATCTCTTCTTTTTATTATTTCCAGGGTATATTGGAGGATTTCTGTTAGCACACTGCAGATTATTATTAACTAGTGTAATATTTGAAATGTTTTTAATTTGCAAATAATTTTATTGGATTTGCAGATGTATAGCAATGGGAATTTAGGATTCCCTCTCCCCCGTAGTTGTCTTTCATTTTACTGAAAATCTGTAAGATTATGAAGATTTTGACTGATTCACATATCTGAAGATTATGACTGATTCACATATAGTCATGCTGCTGAATTTCCTACATGTGATTGTATCAAGGATGTGTGTATCTGCAGTCTCATGGGAGAAGCACAGTGTGAACTAGAAGTGATTGCAATGATTCCTGTGATTGTGGTAGTGCTTTTCTGTGTAAACTGCCTGTCAAGTGTATGCCAGTCTACACAGTGCTTTCTTAGCATGGTTGTAAACATGTGAGAGCCAGAGGACTGGCATATGTGAATTTGGTTATTCATATGAAGGAAATGCAGTACTTGTAACCAGTGTTCCCGCTAAGCTGAGTTTGTGTGAGCTAGCTCATAGTTTTTTAGCCTCTGGCTCACAGATTTTTGTCTCAGCTCAGGAAGGATGGCTCCAGTGCAGACTAATTTATGCAGCAGCCAAATTGCTTGCTCACAACTTTAATGCTGGTAGCTCACAAAGTAGAAATTTTGCTCACAAGACTCTACAGCTTAGAGGGAACATTGCGAACTCCTCCCAAGGCTATGTTCTGGAAAACATTTTTTTACTTGGAAATGTTTTTTTTAGAATTATAAACTGTAGTTTATATAGCCAGTTTGTTGACTGCATAACCTGCAGCATCAGACCTGTTTCATTTGTTGAATCATGAAAGTGCTTAATTTGTGAGCAAGTAATTTCATTGTTGTTTGCTCTAGGTTTCAAATAAATGAACAGCCACGATATTGTGGGTGTACTTGTATAATATCTTTAAGTGTTTCGATTGAAGTCTGAAAAATCCTGAAAATAAGTGGTTCAGCTAGTTTTTATGAAGTTTATGAAGACCCATATAGAATGCATTACAATATTCTAGCCTTCGTGTCCATAATGTGGCCAGATCAGTTGAATCAAGGTAGAGAGCTGTCTTCCAAACTAAGTGAAGTTTAAAGAATTCCTTTAGATAGAAGCTTTTTTTTGTGTGTAAACAGCATTTCGGACAAGCTGTAACTATAATAAAATTGTTAACTAGTGGAGAAATCCTCAAGATTTTTTTTTTGTGCAACATAATTTATCTTCATAATATAAAGATAAGATGCCTTTTAATAGGCAAACAATTATAAGGCAAATAGGCAAAATGTCTTTTTAAACTATGTAAATGAATGGAGATCTAAGATTACTTTTCAGGAAAAAATGGCTACGCAAGGCTTTATCATTCATGTCCACTTTATGTGTATTTCATCAAGCACTTCCTAATTTAAGAGATTCAATGACATTTTCTCTTGTGGATCAAGAATTGTCCTGGAGCACTTGCCTCTTAAGTGTCCACATGATGCCTCTTTAATAAAAACTACAGGTTTTGTTTTGTAGATAGGTTCTTGTAGAAATGTACTCAAATGGAAAGTACTCTAAATTTCATGACTGATGTCTGTAGCTGCTCTAGACTAGAGGAGACACAGTCATTAATGTGCTTAGGTCTACATATAATAAAATGAAAGTCAGTTGGAGCAGTTCAGTGTGTCTTGTAGGAATTTGTCTTCACTCGGCTTCATGCAAGGCTGCTTCATACAATGTACTTCACCTACATGGTAGCAAGAGGAAAACACATATACAATGGTGTAATAATAATGCACACATCGTCGAAAACTTCATCATATGCACAGGTGGCAAAATAAGCATTTATGGTGACTTCACATATAACACTATACATTGTCTTCTCCTGTGCTTGCGTAGTTAAAATGTCATGTCAAAAATGGTCTTCATGTAGGCTCAGCATTTGGGCTGATACTGATGAGCTGCAAGAGCTCTATTGTTGAATCACCAACATTTTGGTCAGTACTTTAAAGCAATTATTGAGTGCTGCAAATTGGAATGGTGATACTATGGGAAGGTAGTTTAAGGGTGGATAGCTGTGTTAGTCATAACTAGGAGCAAGATTTGAGTCCAGTAGCGCCTTAAAGACCAACATGATTTCCACTCAAGAGTCAAAGCTCTCTTCATCAGATACCTAATGAAGAGAACTTTGACTCTCAAAAGCATATACCCTGAAAACAGAGAGATGGTGTCTTTCACCCTTTCCCTCTGCTGCTTTCTCCATTTTACATTCCTCTTCCCAGCCTGCTTTAAACTGTTGGGGGGGGGGATATCAAAACT